TTCTTGTAAGCACTAACTTTAAACACAAGGAGAGACACTGTTTGACTTGGAGACCCCCTTCATCAAACCAACGCTGGACACAAATAGACCACATAGCAATAAGCTATCGTTGGCGTGGGTCGGTAGGAGATTGTCGCTCCTTCTGGAACACGTGCGTAGATACCGACCATGCACTGGTCCGCGCTCGGGTGTGCTTACGACTGAACGGACGTAGGAAACAGCTGGCGGTAAAACCATCACGTCCCCAGCTCGATCAGGAAACTAAATCCGTATTTCAGGAAGAACTAGCTAAACACATATCTGTGTTCGACAGCTGTGCTCACCCTGAAGAAGCTTGGAAAAATATCCAGGCAGCCATAGATACAGCTGTAAAAGCTGTGAATAAGGTAAACCCAAAGGTGAGTAAAAACCACTGGATCTCCACCGCCTCATCCGAACTGATAGATGCTAGAAGACTTATTCCGGCGAGCTCCGAATTCAATGAGGAGCGAAAGCTGCACAAGAGGAAACTTACGAAAAGTCTCCGCAAGGACCGTGAACAGTGGTGGGCGACAAAAGCCAAAGAGATGGAGAAAGCTTCGAGGATAGGCAACACCAGGCAACTCTTTGGACTCATCAGGGAAACGGGTGGGAGAAGACAAATCATTAGTGAGACAATCTCGGAAAAAAATGGCACTATAATTAGCTCACAGGATAGACGACTGGATCGTTGGAAAGAGCATTATGAGGAGCAGTTTAATTTGCCCACAGCCACGCTCAACCTTCCGAGCATCCAACACCTCCCTGAATGGGATATAGATACAGGTCCTCCGTCACTAACTGAGGTTACTAAAGCTGTCACCAATCTGAAACTAGGCAAAGCAGCGGGACCTGATGGAATGACTCCAGAGGTATTTAAGTACGGTGGAGACAGCTTACTGTCCGGATTAACTGAGGTACTAGGCAGCGTCTGGGAATCAGAAGAAGTCCCATCGGGTTGGTGTAAGTCACTGATTATCCCCATATACAAGAAGGGAGACAAGTCTTCCTGTGATAATCACAGAGGGATTAGCTTGACTAATATAGTATCTAAAGTCTTAGGCTCAATAATCATGCGTAGACTGAGTGGTGCTCGGGAAGCACAAACACGAGAGAGCCAGGCAGGCTTTAGACCAGGAAGAGGGTGTATTGATCATATCTTCACCCTCCGACAGATTCTAGAACATAGGCATTCCTACCGGCGTCCAACAGTCATTATATTTCTTGACCTAAAGGCAGCATTCGACTCTGTCGATCGGGAAGTTCTCTGGAGATGCTTGGCTGTAAAGGGAATTCCAAGAAAATATATTGCACTGATTAAGGCACTCTACTCGTACTCATACAGCCAGGTGAGGGCTTACGGCGAGCTGTCATCTGAACTGATGACGACCAGTGGTGTCCGTCAAGGATGCCCATTATCTCCTTTTCTATTCAACTTCATCATAGATGTGTTAATGGACTTAACCCTAGGTGACTTCAGCGACTCAGGGATTGACTTGCTACCGGGAATAATCTCGTTGACTTGGAATATGCAGACGATATAGTCCTTCTAGGCGAAGACGCTGACGAAATGCAGAGTCTTCTAAACACCTTGAGCCGCAATCTACGAATGTTTGGCATGCGATTCGCTCCCGCCAAATGCAAGATGATGTTACAGGACTGGACTACATCGACGCCTAGTTTAAAAATAGGAAGTGAAGTGGTAGAGCACGTTGACCGCTTCACTTATTTGGGAAGTACCATCAGCCACAACGGGCTGATCTCTGACGAAATCTCAGCACGAATACAAGGGGCTCGTTTCGCATTTGTTAGTTTACGCCGACTCTGGCGTAGACGAGATGTTCGACTATCGACCAAAGGGCGGGTGTACTGCTCATCAGTCCGCTCCGTCCTCCTTTATGGTTGTGAGACCTGGCCACTGAGAGTGGAAGACATGAAAAGACTAGCTGTCTTTGATCATAGGTGCCTGCGTTCTATTTCCCGTGTAAAGTGGCATAATAAGGTGAGCAACATGGAGGTTAGGCGAAAAAAAAAAAGTAAACAGGGGAAATCAATCGACGAAGTCGTGAAGCTACAAAGACTGAGATGGTTAGGACATGTGTTACGTATGCCAAGCCATCGCCTCCCTCGACGAGCAATGTTAGCGGATATAGGGTCAGGCTGGAAAAAAGCTAGCGGCGGTCAAACAAAAACTTGGCATCAGTCAATGAAATCCACAACAGTTGGTCTAAGCCACGTAGGAAGGTGTAGACTTCCAGGCTGGGGTCCTCGGGACGGTAAAAATCTATGGTTGGAAACAATTGGTGACATGGCTCAAAATCGTTCTCAGTGGCGCAGATGCATCCACTCCCTGTGACTTATGATCTTCAATGAAACTGTTTTGTATTTCTTTATTACTCCTTTGTCTCACACCTCTGCTCACTGTTTCTATTATGCTTTTCTTGTACTTTCTTCTCTTGCTTCGCGTGCTACACGGAATGTGGCGACTTGAACTTCCGCACATTTGTGCAAAGTTCTATGTCGAAAACAGACAGACAGGCTATTACTGTCTTGATACTGAAGATTAGATAGTCACAAAGAGTAAGTATCAAGCGGACTAACCAAGTCCTTATCACTCAAACAATTTTCAGAGGGAAATGGATTGGCTATATGTAGAATGACATCACATGCCCAAACCTCGTCTGAAATGAACATGGGAAGCGACGATTTTGTCATCCTAGGATAACGTGGAGATCATGTGAAAAGGAAACAAAAACTTCTGAGTACTAGACAGCTAACAAAGATGCTAAGGAACAAAACACAACAGAGAGCTTCCACTGTTTCACCCGTGACTCACGGGACGTATGATATAGTACTATATATATATATATATATATATATATATATATATATATAATATTTCACACTTCACGTAGCATACAGCGAAAGAAGAAAGTAAAAAGAGATTCAGAAGAGAGTGATGGAGAAAGAACAGTAGTGTGGAAGAAAAATACGGTTTCACTGAATGTGCCAAAGAATGCGTCTGTAAAATTGAGAACGAATTTCAGGCATCACCAAATGTCTCCAGCCGTCACTGGTTTTTACCAACCCGAGGACACTAACCACAAAAGAAGTCTGCACCTCCCAAAGCAGCTAGCTTAGACTAACTCTTATAGATTTCATTGAGTGGTGCCATGTTTTGGTTTGACCGTCACTAACTAGCCAACTCTTTTCCAACTCCATCCACACTAGGTCAGCTAACACTGCCCGTCAATCGGGGAACGCGATGGCTAAGCATACAGCTAACACATGTCCTTATCGTCTCGATCAATACAACTTCACAGCCTCGTCAGTTGATTCTCCCTACTCACCTGGCACTCAAAACCTAATCTCAATATTGCTCAACCTGTTATACCAATTAACACGGAAAATAAGACGCACCCACGCGCCCAAGATCACAGACAGCTACACAGTATTTTGACATCTTCCTCATCCAATGTCCATGTCTCAGTCACAGCCGTAAACGAAGACGGAACGAACTCCTGCGGTGCAATACATACATCCTTTGGTAGACAGCTGGATTCCTGTGAGACCTGGCCCTGAGAGTGGAAGACATGAAAAGACTGTCTTTGATCATAGGTGCCTGCGTTCTATTTCCCGTGTAAAGTGGCATAATAAGGTGAGCAACATGGAGGTTAGGCGTCGAGTTCTAGGTAAACAGGGGAAATCAATCGACGAAGTCGTGAAGCTACATCGACTGAGATGTTAGGACATGTGTTACGTATGCCAAGTCATCGCCTCCCTCGACGAGCTATGTTAGCGGATATAGGGTCAGGCTGGAAAAAAGCTAGCGGCGGTCAAACAAAAACTTGGCATCAGTCAATGAAATCCACAACAGTTGGTCTAAGCCACGTAGGGAGGTGTAGACTTCCAGGCTGGGGTCCTCGGGACGGCAAAAATCTATGGTTGGAAACAATTGGTGACATGGCTCAAAATCGTTCTCAGTGGCGCAGATGCATCCACTCCCTGTGACTTATGATCTTCAATGAAACTGTTTTGTATTTCTTTATTACTCCTTTGTCTCACACCTCTGCTCACTGTTTCTATTATGCTTTTCTTGTACTTTCTTCTCTTGCTTCGCGTGCTACACGGAATGTGGCGACTTGAACTGGCGCACATTTGTGCAAAGTTCTATGTCGAAAACAGACAGACATCTACGTCAGAGATGGCTTTCTGTATCCGAGCTGAGACTTATTCAGCCATCAACCCACTGACACTGACTGATGCAAGTGAAGTGGTCAACATACTCCGCCAACCACTTCACTCTCTATCTTTAAGCTAGGAATGAGTCGTTGTAGCATCATCCTACATTTGACAGCAGGAGCGAATGGCATACAAAACATCCAAAGGTGTTCAGAAGACTGAATTTTGTCAGCGTCTATATACAAATATATATATATATAAATAATATATATATATATATATATATATATATATATATATATACTGTTGGTGAAACCAACTAGCTATAAAGATAACAGTAAATGAATCACATTTCTAACCTGTTAGCCACTCTGTAAAATTCACAGATTCATAGCATTACGATCAGTATAATGTGCTCTCCGCTTAATCTGATGTGAAAAACAATTTCAATAACGTTAAAGAGCAATCGACGGGAAAATAAAAAATTCAATAATTAATATGACCCGTTGCACAAGAGGTGGCTCTCGTGGCACAAAATGGTCTAGTGGATAAGGCTTTGGCGTTTGAAACTATGTGCACTGGGTTCGAAACTCGAGGGAACATCATCACTCACTGAGAAATGCAGGTACACCACGCTGACGAGTCCCAAATAGGATCCAGGATTCCACTGCTAGTCACCATCCATCAATTAAATACTAATTAAATGCCCAGACATCGTCGAAGCATTTGCACAAGAAGCCGACATGTCAACCTGAGACCGAGCACTTCGGTCCAGTCAATCGACGGGAAAATCAAAAACTCAATTACATTACATTTATCGTCAACGTCACATCTGTCTGTTTTCGACATAGAACTTTGCACTGATGTGCAGCAGTTCAAGTCGCCACACTCCCCCATGTAGCACACAAAGCAAGAGAAGAAGGTAGAAGAAAACCATAGCAAAGACAGCAAAAAGGGGGGTGAGACAAAGGAAAAGTAGTAACGAAGAACAAAACAGTTTCATTGGAGATCATAAGTCACAAGGAGTGGATGCATCTGCGCCACTGAGAACGATTTTGAGCCATGTCACCAATTGTTTCCAACCATAGATTTTTAACGTCCCGAGGACCCCAAACATGAAGTCAGCATCTTCCTACATGCTGGCTTAAACTAATTGTTGTAGATCTCATTGACTGGTGCCATGTTTTGGTTTGACTGCTGCTAGTTCTTTTCCAGCCTGACCCTATTTCCGCTAACATTGCCCATTCTCGAGGAGGGCGATGGCTAGGCATACGTAACACATGTCCTAACCATCTCAGTCGATGTAACTTCACAGCCTCGTCCATTGACTTCCCCTCCTTACCTAGCACTCGACAGGGACTAACCTCAATATTGCTCACCTCATTATAACACTTCACACGGGAGATAGAACGCAGGCACCTATGATCAAAGACAGCTAGCCTGTCTCTTCATGTCTTCCACTCTCAGTGGCCAGGTCTCACAGCCATACAGGAGGACGGAGCGGACTGATGAGCAGTACACCCGTTCTTTGGTCGATAGTCGGATATCACCTTTACATCAGAGACGGCGTAAACTGGCATATGCGCAACTAGCCCTTCAACGTCACATAGTTTAAAAGCGTATACTTAACGAGACGAATTGAATTCGACGCAAAATGAAGACGTCAACACCGTTTTCGTCTACATTATCAAAAGAAGAACAACAACAAAAAAAGTTGAACATTAGTGTCTCTGCTGCATTAAAAATCTCAATGATAATAATAATAATGCAACATTTAAAATGACATTTTAAATCTGTGAGAATTATCACGGCATAAGCGTGCCTAAACAGAAAAACAAAATATATTTATCTATATTGACCAGGATGATGCAACGAAGAGGAGCGGAAAGCGAAACAAAAAAACGAAGACACAAACACAATAGACACGAAAAAGGGAGACGCGTATAAGCTACGCAAGATAAACACAGTCACAATGCATAGTCAGTCTTTGGTTTAGAAATAAATGTGAAAAAAAATAAACAAAAGAAGAAAACGCGAAGATGACGTCTGTTAAAACATTTACTCAAACAATAAATTGGTGATAAGAGAGAAAAAAGGAAGAGAATGAACAAGAGCACACAATAAAGCTTACACACCCACCCACACACACACAGACGCAAAGACAGCGATATACATACATGTTGTATAAGCATACATAGACAGAAATGGTGGAGGCGTTAAGTAATTTGCGTGATACACCGATTCTGTTGTTAAATGCTGTATTTACTCATTCATCATAGAGAAAAGGCATAAGAAGACTGATTAGTTAGTGAGTGAGTTAGTTAATAAATGCTCGCGCAATTACTCCATAGAGAACAAACCAAAACTTATAAAAATATGAGGAATGTAAATATCATTGTTCAATGAATGAAGCATGATGCCAAAAAAATAAATGAACCAACTGGAAAGAAAAAACTCGTAATTATCTAATAGAGGTAAAGAGAGAAACGATGTACGATGTAAAGTACATAAAACTATGAATAATTGAATTCTTCTTTGGTTAATCAAATCAACGTTGAAACGGTACGCATCTAGGTGCTGGGGTTGATGTATGCGCATATTGTATATTTATACTTGGTGAAACAGGCTGAAAAAAAAGAATTTATTACTATTATTAGTATTAGCATTATTAGTATTATTACTTCCATTTTGATCACGAGTTTGTTTCACTTAGAGAATCATCGAAAACCAGAGAGTATCCGGAGGCTGTTTCGTCATTGGTTTGGACTCTTCATCAGTACGCGCCTGTATCCCAACAGGAATCGAAGCTAAAACCTTGAGGATGAAACAGCCATCCAGTCGGTACTACCTCGTCGCTATTGGTTCTCTCCCACAAGATCCAACTCGTGATCAAAACTGAAAATATTCAAATGTCTGCAAACTAACACTTGTGATTTACTACTAATATCACTATGGTTATTAGTAGTACATATGAGTAAAGCACAAGTGCGATTATGATACATTCCACCACTAATTTTTTCGCATGTTTTTATTTTGTTTGAACTTTAACCTCCTTACATTTAAATAATCAACTTTCACGCTGTAAGCAGCTGAAGAGAATACAACGAAATAAATGATGACCCCATGATTCTGCAGCCAAGTTGGTTCCCGTTTATCTCTAACAACAAACTCTTTGGTACAATCAAAGGCGGACAGATGCCCTATCAATGTTAACTTTAATTGCTTATACAAATTTACGTGTATCTGTGGGAGCAGTTACATTAGGAGAACAGAGAGAAGGAAAAATCTTAGATTTTCTGGACATGTACCAAAATTTTTACATCCCTAAGGGAATAAGTGCTTTGAACAGGGTTATTGCCAGATATCTTGTTGATACGAGCCATGAGGTGGACAGTGTGAAATCCTTCAAGATTATTGGTAGGTAATACAACTCAAAACTAAGTGAATATTAACTATTATATTTATAGAAACCTTCTCGAAATTCAAATGAATAGTTCCACTGTTTCGTTGAGAAAACTGGATTAGACTTCTTCATTGGAACAATCAAAATTAAAACACCAAAGCTATATATAAATGAAAAAGGCACACCTCATCTTCAGAATTCTTGTCCAATCAAATTTGAGTCATGAATAGATAACAAAAAGTAAATAATTTTGATCATTATTTCCGCTACAGAAACTTCAAGCCACTATCTTGAAGCCCTATGTTCCACTGGGGGACACGAAGGAAAATTTTAAAAAATTCCGCGAATTAGTACCAGTTTGTCTAACGAAACACTGGAATTATCTATTTCATTTTCGATAAGGCTTTATATAAATATAATTTTTTGACATATGTCTACTTTTCACTCAGCGTCAAATCACTGTAGAACTATTCGGCTACATCTTGATCGAAGTCCGTATAAGTGAACACCACCTAAACTTTGGAATATCTTATCACTGGTGCAAACGTCAATTCTAAAGTGAATTTCGCATTTTATTCATTATTCTTGTCGTAAACTTTGAACGTATTGCCACCTCACAGATTTCTACCCTTGTAGGATAAAGTTACTGCATCAGACACTACGATCTATGCCCATCAGAACACCACTATGTTATACATTCAAAGAAATACCTCCTTATTAGGAGATACGTTACTCAGTGTACAAGTGAGTTCAATATGAAGTGAAGAACGCGAGAAACATGATTACACTTCACACTTCTGATTTATTGTATTGAACTGGTGAGTGAAGTTGAAATGAAAGCTAGACTAAGATCAAAGTCAAGCCAGTAGCTTTAGAATTACCAGCCAAGAAGTTTCCTAACTAAGATTACAGATCTAATTTCCTGGTGGCATCTAAAATCCACTCATAAATCAAGTAATTCGCCTACCTGTATCATAGAAATTTGATTGACTGAAGTTTAATCAATACTCTATTAGTAGGTGTGGTTCCGCAATTCACTTTTTGGAGAGCCAAGTTGACAATCCTGAGGCACAGTTACTACTACACAATCTTTTCTGTTATATGTTACTTTAGCTGAAAAAAGTATATATACCTTTAAACAAGAGAATTAGATCTCCAAGCTTTACTCTAATGTATACAGCCTTAAACATGAAGATATTTAAACCAATCACGGTGAATTTGTATATTAAAAATGAGTGCGAAATGTTGTAAATATGTTAGTAGTGAAAGTAACATTAAAGATAAAGAAATCAATGGAAACAAAGAAGAAGCAGTTGACGCAGGTGGCGATAAGAATAACGAATACAATTAAACAAATAAATCAGGTCATTATTATTATTGTTCCTAGTAAGCGATGTAATGTTTTTCCCTCTTGTGATGTTAATGCTCTTAATCTGTCTTTTATACGCTCTCCTTCTACCATAACCACTTCTAATGTTACCAATCTTGTAGCTGATAACTTCCAGGACTTCAATACTCTCGATGTTTTGAAATGTCTTAAAACTCTTAAGCCCTCACATAGTCTTGGCCCTGATGGCATACCTGCATATGTCCTAAAACAATGTGCAGATGCTTTATGTTCTCCTCTAACTAATATCCTAAATGCTTCTTTCTCCGAAAACGTTGTACCTGTTCCATGGAAAGACATTAAAATAGTCCCTGTCCCTAAACCTGGAAATAGCAAGAACGTAAAGTTCAGACCCATTGCCATCACTTCCCCGTTTCTAAAGCTCATGGAAAAACTAATACTTCTTAAACTCGAACCCTCCCTTAAAAGCTTCGAAGACCCCAAACAATTTGCCTACAGACAGGGTAGGAGTACTTTAGACGCTGCAGCCGTCTTACACAACAGTATTGTCTCATCATTAGACAAAGGTGCCAAATATGTCCGCTGCACGTTTCTTGACTTTACTTCTGCTTTCGACTCTGTACCTAGAAGTCTCTTGCTAAATAAGCTATCCACGACACAAACCGAGTCTTGGGTCACTAAGTGGTTGCATTCCTACTTTTCAAACAGAATGCAGTACACCGTATACAAAGGTCAATCCTCCTCTGCTGTGCTCACTGAATCTGGTGTCCCCCAAGGTGCTGTACTCTCCCCACTTCTCTTTTCATTCTTCCTTCATGACCTACCGTCTTCAAATGATATTAACTTTGTCAAATATGCTGATGACCTAACTGTATCTTTACCTGTCAAATGTCAAAATGACTGCTCTAAACTAAATGGCTTCTTATCAGAAATTAGCCAATGGTCCAAGGAAAACGGTCTAACCTTAAACCCCTCCAAATGCCAAACAGTTAATTTCACCTTTAGGCATAAATCTGAACTAAACAAACTGGTTAGCGCTCACGAGGTGTGCAACATAGATGGCACTGAAATAGAAACTAAGTCGGAAATTAAATACCTAGGCGTCACTCTATCTTCTGATCTTTCCTGGTCGTCTCATATCTTGACGATTTCCAAGAAAATATACCGTCTTACCTTCTACATCAAGAAGTTAAGACATTCTGGTGTAACCCAACCCTTACTACTACAATTTGTTAACTCCCGTATTCTGCCTATAATTCTCTATTGCTCCCCCTTAGTCTTTCCTGGGATATTGAAGACAAACTATACCTTATTACGTAGGATGTTAAAGGTTGTCAGCAGGGTAAGCAGTTTACCACTTAGCCAGCTTGTTAACATTCTGGTGGACAGGCACATGGACTCATGTGAAAAATGGGCGAAGTCCATTTTATCTGACTCACAACACCCTCTACACTCACAACTCTCCCCATGTATCTCTTCAGGGAAAACAAGAAGTCTATATAGGAAACTATATGCCCGCACTAGTAAGTACAAAAACTCATCCATACCCTACCTAGCCCGTGTTCTGTGTGATAAAGAATGCATCAGGCATGAAACCTTTAACTTATTAAATAGTCAGTAGAACCAATGAATCTCGTCTTTCCAACTCACATCATTTATGGGTACAACGTTTTCTCTCTTTTCCATTCTCTCTACCTTTTTTGTCTTTATTTTTGTTAAGTGCTGTTTTGTTTTTCTCTTCCTTGCAAACTCTAGTTAAAACCTTCTTGTTGTTCTTTTACACTCTGTATATCTCGACCATTTTGCTATCGCTTACGCCAGTAAATATGCTAGTAGTATCTACTTTTGTAACACCTTCAAACATTTTAATTTTGGCTTTGCTACCGACATACTAATATGTTGTTGAGATAATCTTTAATCTATGTAGAACTTTATTTATTGTTAATGTAAAAACTGGATGCAATATTGTAGTAAAATGCTGAGAATTCCATTCTGTATCACAAGTACTGATTTGGAATAAAGCTTATATAATAATAATAGGAACATAGGTCTTCAACTGCACGTCTCCACTTGCTTCTGTCTTCCTTCTACTGTACTTTTCACCTCTATCCATGTTAGTCCATACTGTTTCAACTCCTCTTCACACGATCTCCTCCATGTTACCCTTGCATTCGAACAGTGGCCTGACGCGCACGCGATGTCACCCAGAGGCCTCCTCAATGAGTGAGTGTCCAATCCATCTCCACTTTCTCATGCATATTTGTTGGTTGGCGATTGGTTCTTGTTTTGTTTGTTCCCAGTCATAGTTTCTTGTTGGTGATTCTTTCCGGCCCGGCCATCTGATCTTCAGTATAGAGCCAAGACAGTTAGTTGTTGATAAAGGTTTGCAACAGGCTGTTGGAAACATTCTTTGTGACCCGCCCACCCGCCAAGTTTCTCATCCATATAGAAGAACTGGCTGACTTGACGTTTGTATTGAAAATCCGACTGGATTTTGTTGTTGATACTGGCTGAGTGACGAAGATATCCAGAATGGTTTCAGGCTGATGAATGTGTCTTTCACCTTCCCAATTCTCGCTCGATTTGACATCCTTGTCCGTTCCGACTTCCTGTAGTTGAGACAATGCTCCCTAGATAAGTGAATGAATGAAGTAACCTCTTCCAAATCCGCCCCGTTGACGGCGATTGGCGGTGGTTGTTTCTGCTGTTACTGTTGTTGGTTGGTTATCTTCATAACCTACATCTTGTCTATGTTCACCTGGAAAATCAGGTTATAGGTCTTACATATTCAAAAGTTACATAATACTAGAGATGAAGTGGATGGATATAGATAGACAAGCTGAGTCAAAATAAACATAGAAGTATGAATGAAGTGAAGAATAAGAAAAGGTACGAATTTTTTATTAGTTCGTTGGATTCACTTGACCCAAGGGAGAGACACATCTACACAAAGACTAGAATTATTCTCTCAAATTCCCATCAACGCAACTATGCGTAAAAGACGACTTCGAAATCCGTTCGACAGGTTCGACTGGATGTAGTAGATAACCCATGAAAGCTATTTTTCTGGCCGTTTGGTGTCCACCGCTAATCAACTGAGATAAAACAGAGCTTCTCATAAATTTCGACTAGTCTTTCCCATACCAGGAAGGATGGTACACAGAAATGCGTTCATTAGGCTGTCTACCTGTTCGTTTTATACTAGCTGTCTTCACAGGATAAGTTAAATTTATAAGTACACATAGAAGTGACACAGGTAGGCAGATTAACTTTCAATTCAGTAGTCATAATCAGTCAATTAGCAAAATGGTAAACAAAGGGTGGCAACAATATAATTAATGAATAATCACCCATCTAGGTAATAATGGAAACAAAACATGTAGCTAAGCGAAGAGTCTCTTTTCGGCGAATTCATTTTCTTAGCTGTTCAGTCGTAGATATATATGGGTTATTTTGTATATATGTGTACATTAAGTTTGTCAGACTGAAATATAGTTGGTTCTGGTTATTTTAACTAAACAAGTGAAGATTGGTAATTTGAGTTACGTAATACAAAAACGGTCAAGAAAATTGGGCGTTAGTGAAATTAGGGTGGTAACAAAGGTGATGAGTTGTCACAAGCGGTTGTTAAAAAGGAGTTCCACAATAATATGAACCAATATCTGAATACAAAATCAGAAATCCGCAACTACCTAACAAGGTAGCACCAAAAAGAATTAAAACAGTTGAAAGATAACAAAGATCTGTTAATAACCCACCTCCGACAAAGGTGCTAGTGTAGTGTTTCTAGATCGAAAGAACTACATCAAGAAAATGAACAATATACAGTCAATTGAAGATAAACTTTCCCAACCTTCCAATAAAAGAAACAAAATGGAACTGTTTAAGAAGCAGCTGACAGACGTCTTGATGAGAATGAAGGCTAGTCAACTAATCAATTGTGATATCTATGACCAAATCCAGCAAACAGGTTCAATAATATCAAGACTTTATGGTCTGCCAAAGGTACACAAGGTTGGTATCCCACTTCGTCAAATTCTGGATATGTCAGGTTCCCCTTACCACTCTATTGCAAAATGGCTGGCAGATATTCTGGAACCTGTAAGGAAACAATTATGCATGCACTGGCTCTGTGACACTTTCCAGTTCGTCGAATGCATACAAGACCCGAACGTATCTAACAAAATTATACTATCCTTCGACAATGAGTCATTTTTCACCAATGTCGCATTCACGGAAACGGTCTGCTTTATATGTAAATATATAGATGAGAACCATATCAATGTTGGAATACCAAAAGCTCATTTGAAGGAATTACTACGGAGATGCACTTTGGACGTAGTTTACTTTCAACGACACCATCTATAGAAAAAAAAGATGGCATTGCCATGGGATCTCCGTTAGGTCCATTACTATCAGACTGCTTCTTGGAAGTCCTCGAAAAAAGTCCACTAAAGCCGACCATCGACAATTTACGACTGTATAAAAGATACGCAGATGACATATTCGTGACAACAGTAATGACCCCAATCTATTGCTGCAGACATTCAACAAGTGTTGCAATTCAGCAATAAAATTCACTCTTGAAATGGAAACCGAATAAAAAATTCCCTTTATTAATGTGGAACTAACAAGAAGAACTGATAGGAGCCTAAGAAGATCAATCGATAGGAAAGCTACATGGAATGGTCAACTAACAAGCTTCTATAGCTGGATATCCATTCAACAAAAGCGGAAATTAGTAAAATCCCTTGCCACTCGCATCCGCCGCGTCTGTAGTTACGATGTACTACAAACAGAATTAGATATTCTGAGAGAAATCTTCATCCAATGTGGATACCCAATAAGATTCATTGACAAAAATATCAAACCAAGAATTTGGAGAAACTAAACTTTAATTGCACCGACAAAGAAACTCTACATCAACTTGGATTTCAAGGGAGATTTAACAAGCGATATTCTCAAGAGAAGGATCACATTATCTCTGAGAAGAACATTCTTTGCAGCAGCGTTAAGAAAAGTGTTCTCCAGACGCCCACTGATCTGCAGAAGTCTCAATAACAAGATCCGACATCTGACCACTTCTATATGCATACATCAGCTCACCTGCTGCTTTGGAGCTAGGTTCGTCCATCGGTCGTTCGACCCGCACCCTATCCAAGAGGATTCACGGAAACTAACCAGCATGATTGCGAAAAGGCAATAGTGGTGCAATAAGGAGTGCGACAATTGTACACCTGGTTAATACTGATCATTCCATCTCAACAAACCCCTCCTGCTCCCAAGTAATCTACAAAGTCAAGAATAACCTACCAAAGGCAATACAGTTTCGTCTTCATTGTATAGCTGAATCTCTGGTCATTCACATAGAAAAACTGCAGCCGTGCATACAAAAGAGAATTCCTCAACCACTTCTACTATCATGGTAGCAACTTTGTTGATTTTCGTTGACTCAATTTTGTTTGTTTGCCTGTTCTTTAATTGCTTATAATTCTTCTATTCATTTAGAACTCCTACGTAATTTGGTGTTCTCTCTCTCTAATGTATCCTGAGTAAAACTCAATCATCAAACCATTCATATTATTACGTAACTCCTTTTTAATAACTGTTTTTGTGACAACTCATAACCTTTGTTACCACCCTAATTTCATTAACACCCATTTTTCTTGACCGTTTTTGTATTACGTAACTCAAATTACCAATCTTTACCTGTATCGTTAAGAGATAACCAGAACCAATTGTATTCAGTTTGACAAACTTAATGTACACATATATACAAAACAACCCACATATATTTGCTTTTGTGCAACAGAATAAGTCTGTTTTATAGTTCTAGATAATATGAGATGTGGAACTTTACTGACCTTATCTCAATCGTACTAGAGCTCCAGAAACAGTTGTTTCCCCTTAACCATGATCAGCTTCTTTATACATAAAGCTATGTACATTAGAGTAAATCTTGAAGATCTAATTGAAAATAATATTTCCCTCCTACATATATATCTTGTTTTAATTTTAACAATACATAGTATACATACCTTAGTTGTATTTTGACTGGATTGTGCATTTTGACCCGATTCATCCGATATATCTGAAATGTCTAAAATAACAGACGAGGTTGGAAAATATAAGATTACTTGATTTACATCATTTTCAATAAAACAATGTTTGGAATACTTTTAAAATGATCAAAATGGTAGTGTAATAAAAAAATATGTGAAAACACTCAATTATTCGTTAAATTTACAGGTGAACAGAAAGAATGTAAGCAAATACATATGGTGAACAAGAATAACTAGAGCGAATAATCGTTCTCACTAAATTCTTTTTCAGGCGCCACAATTATAAATCAACTAATCTTAGCATAGAATAGCCGGTAAAAACAAATTAGGACTGTAACAGAAAGTGTATTGTGCAAGAAGAAATAACAGTGCTGGTATTCAGTTTATTTCTCTGTAGTATTCATATTGTCTCTCATAATATTGTCTATACTCTCCTATGAAAACATGTAGCTTTGTTGACTATGTATATACACATATCACTGGATTATTTCATCTCATTTTCTTACCGACCATGCATATTCTAAATGGTAATCGAAACTAACTGACTATTATTACATCCTGTACCCGTTTTACAATACACTTTCTGATATAATTCGAGGTCAGGAAAAGCACAGTTACTCCCCTTGGACATTGGCTGGCGGTCGCGTTAAACAAATATGACGAATTGGCAGATGTTGGAATTCATGGACCATTGGGTCAGGTCCCAGTGACTTAATGGTCTACAAACTCGCCTTGTAACTAGGAGGTGATGGGTTCGACCCCCGATGGGTGCGTATCACCGAAGAGCCTCAAACCAGGACGAAATGGCTGTCCATTACTCCAATGTTTTTCAACGGTGCTCTAACCGATATCAACCCGTGATCAATCCTGTAACCAGTCGCATCCCTGCAATTCAACACCTGATAGCTCTAATTTGCCTTTAGTGGATATTTTGTATGCGAAAATTATTGATTTATAGTTGGTGTATAGCCTGAAGAAGAATTTAGTGAAGACAGTCGTTCGCTCTAATTATTCTTAATCTGGATAAAATTCAGATTGCTAAAACATATATACTTCATTAACCAACTACAAGCACAGTTATGTATAAATTGGTAATTTTCAGTCAGTGGAATAAAGACTGATGAAATATATAATTATACACTATTTAGTTCATATATGTATATGGATTTCAAAATTCAGAATACCACATATTAGACCTCAACGGTATCCACATTATGCATTACTTAGTCTTCAGTCCGTAGATATTGTCGTTATTTCACTAGGCTTCAACAACACATCTTTATTTCATCCTGGTCTCTGCAGTCCTCCTCACACCATCTCCTCCATGTCACCCTCGGACTAACTCGTTGTCTCTCCTTCGTGTTCCACTCAAGGGCCTGGCACGCGATGTCACTCAGAGGTTTCCTCCATCCCCATTTTCACCGGCGCGTTTGTTGGGAAACAGATTCTTGGTCAGTTCATCACCAGAGTTCTTTGTGGCTAATTCTTTCTGGCCACCTGATCGCCAGTATGAAGAGAAGCAACTGTCGACAAAAGTCTGAAGTCTACCAGAAATGGTTTTGATGACTCATCAAATATCTGAGCAGTATATAAGAATTGACTTGGCATTAGCGCTGAAATTTCGCAGTAGTTTCCAAACCGATTTTCCAGCGATGGTCTGAGATTGTCTTTCCGATTCTGGTTTTGACATCATCATCATCCATGCTGTCACCTGTAGTTGTAAAGATGGTGTTTAGATTAGTGAAGGATATAACCTCTTTCAAATATCTCGCGTTGATAAGGATTGCTGATTGTGTTGTCGGTTAGGTGCCTTCATCACCTCTGCCTTCTCTATGCTCACATGGAGGCCTGTCTTCATGGACCGCTCCTTCTTCTGACAACTTATTCATTTCCACTTGTAGATCTTCAACTTCCCGTAAGATTATACGTAAATTATCCACAAACTTCAGACTTTCTAAGGTATTCTTATCGGTCCACAATGGATTCTCATCTTATCACTCCCCACAGTCTGCTTTATAATCCAGTCCACTAACAATTAGGAATATCTTCATTGACACTAGGCAGTCTTGTCTTACTCATGTCTTCACTGCAAAAGCTTCACTGAGTTTTCCATTGTGGATCATTTTATATATGGCGTATAGCTGTTGAGTGAGGTTGATGAAGATTTAGGACACTTCACAGTGTTGAAGCAGATTGTAAATCACTTCGTGGTCAACGCTGTCGAAGACTTTTTCAAAGTGGATGAAGTTGACTTTCATTCAATGATCTGCATAGTAATGCTAGACACTGAGGTTAAATAAATAAAACCTGAGTAAAACTATTAAACTATTTAAACTGAAAATATACACAAATGAGACTACAAAGCCATCAGATAGTGTTATAAACACTAAATTGTTGAAATAAGGGGTTAGCACTTTTGGCAAAAGAGAAGAAACAAAAAAGCATTAGTACTCACCAGGCATTGAAAACGAATTTTTTGTAAATTGATATTTTGATCGTCGTTTGAAAATAGGCCTACGATATTTCGAAGATAAAGCAGAACGTTTAATATTCGAGTTTACACTATGGTATGGAGTAGGAGTGTAAAATGAATTCGAGGTTCGATATGGGCAATCCAGATTCAAAGAAGCTGTTGGTGAATAGTGTGACTTGTGAGCACATTGACTGACAGGAAACTCTGTCTTGCTAGAGTCTAGAATCCAACGAAACATATTCATTCCAACCAAAAAACAACACAGGAGAATGGGACCAAATAAAGCACCTGCAGGACCTTGATAGTATATCCCACCAGCAATTGCAAGACCAGTGAAATATGGATGACCAGCTCTACAAAAGAACGGTAAATCAAACAGTCAGTACTGAAAGAAATAAAAATAGTACAAAAGGTACATTAATAGGACAAATTAGTATTAGAACTACTACTTTGATGTTAATCAGTGTCAAGTGCGAAATCCAAAACATTGTATGTTAATGCTACTCCCCAGTTTGGTTAGTTATGCATACAAAAATCAAGTTCTTATTCTGTATAAATGTTAAGTCTGTTCAATATCTTATTCCATCATAGTGCTAAACTGCTTCATAACGGTTAGATTCGATTTTCAGTAAATCGTTAACTACTGACACTAAAAAACGTGTTCCCTTAGTGCATTTTAGTTTTCCTTTTTTCACCTTTATGATACTCGTAAATCGGACACTCGAATAGCTTAACTCTCATCTAATAAAAGCTTCCACTTGTCTAATTTTAAGTTTTAATTATAATATCTTGTTAATTATTACACAGTTTTATGTTTCCAATGTTTAGAAACTGATATTCAAGTATTGGTTTGTAGGGATTTGGTTGATTGGTGACAGGATTTCATCATGAGCTGACATTGGTTAGAGAACCATTGGAAAACCACATGGGAGTATTGGACGGCTGTTTCATCCTAGTTTGGGACTCTTCATCAGTACGCACCCACCGCTAGGGTTCGAACTCAGCACCTTCTTGTTACAAGGCGAGCTCGTAGACCATTAAGCCACTGGGACCGGATCCAATGGCCACCCCATGAATTCTAACTTCTGCCAATTCATGATATAGCGCAACCGCTAGCCGATGTCTTCGGCGAGTATTTGTCCTCACACCCGACCTGCTGTACCCTACTGGTCACGACTTCCCATTGGAACCCCAGGTAACTACCTACCTGAATAGGGCTTCACCGTACATCTAAGATATCATTCTTAACCATCCTTCATTATTCACTGATGAACAGTTTTAGTAGAGATCAAAACTCCCAAACAGTAAAAGACCTTTCTGACTTTTACCACTAACTAATAACAAAAATACTACTACTACTACTAATGAAATGCCTATATTCTTTATCAGTAGAATGATTACATCACGGAAAGGATAAAAAATATTTGGTTGTTTTGCATAATGTAAAAGGGTGTTTAAAAATGTAGCTAATTAAAGCCAGATGGGTCGGTGGTTCACGCCTCACGTGATCCAGGGTTCGATTTCTGACAGGCCCACCCCCTGAACCTTGACCAGTCAGTTGGTAATAAGCCTAGTGAATAGGAAAGCTTGAGCACGAGGCTTGCAGCCCCAGTCCGTAAAATACAAAACACCGCTGAGCTATCGGAACTTCAAAGCTCAAGCATGAAGTCTTATGTTCCACTTAGAACGCAAAGGATTGATGACATGACATCATGATATGACAATTAAAACCAAGTGTCTTGAAGAAAGGGCAATATTGCTTATAAAGACACCTTTTTTACTGCCATCTATTTGAACTTGTAGGAAATTCAGTTTCCTATGCCTTTAAATTCCAAATTTTCTCGTCTTTCTTTCATTATTTGTGTTTTTTATTCATTTTCAAAAGAATTTAGTTGGTGATGTCTTTCATCCACTAATGATGGCCATTTTAGAATAAAGCTGCAAACTGAATCTACAAAGACAGTTTTATAAAGTAATTATTTTACTCTACCATGACAATGTGAACTTTCTACTACGCTTTCCGATTTTCTCTATGTACCAAACAACTCCTCGCTGACGTATGTGCTTTGGTGGGTATAGTGCTGACTTACGTTACAGAGTAGTGGTTAATTATTACTGAAAAAGCATAACACAACTGTATACGTCTTATAAAATTAATAGTGATCAATAGTTTGTACTAGATAGTAAGCCAACTCTAATTACTCAAAATGAGAAAGATAAAATTTCAACTTTTGACCAGCAAGTTAGTAGTTGCAAGATTTAACAAGTTCTTGAAATAATGAAAAAGATTTGTAGCTTAGATATATCTTTTCGATGTGGTTATGTTCTCTGTACTCTAAGTTTATACACAACCTATTTTGTAGAACTCAATTATCTCCACAACATTAAGATAGCATAGCATACATTCTTTATGTGCACGTAACTGGTAAACAGAAGCGCTTAATTTTTTGGTGTATGGTGACTATTGGTAGAATCCAGGGTGCGTATTTCGTCCTATTTAAGACTGGTCGGCTGGGTGCACTCCTCGGTGAGCAATGATCTTTCTCCACTGAGGTTAAAAACCAGTGCCCAACACTGCAAACGCCAAAGCGTTATCCACTAGATTATTTGAGCCACGACAGCCGGCTTTGGTGCTACGGGCATCAGTTATTATTTGTTTTGAATTCACTTTCAATTTTCCCGTTGACTGATTGGACAAAGATATCGGCTCCTAGTAACCATGGTTACTGGGTTCGAGTGTCAGTGGGAAAGCTAACACTCACTGACGAATGCAGGCACATCCTCATGACGAGTCCTAAATAGGACAAAATGCCTATCCTAGATTCCAGTGGTAGCTACTATCCACCAAATTGCCTCAACTTAGTCCTCAGACATAATCGAAGTGTTCGTACTAGACGACAGCATGTCAACAAAGGCTGAGCATTTCGGTGCGCTCAATCAACGAGCGAATCAAAATTGAATTACAAAAACAAACAAGAAGTTGTTTTCATAATAAAGAAGTTATAATGAAAAGTATTATCATCAAATAATATACTGAAATACCCTTTAATCTCCCTATAAACTGCGACATCAACAAAATAGGTTGGTAATAAGTGAAAAATTATGAGTAGACCAGCTTGAGTTAATGACTGACGAATGATTATAATTTCAATTACACCGGGTAGTACAGCCCAATATGTTCCAATAATTGGAACAGCACCAAGTAAAGCAGCCAATACTAGATAAAAAAAAAAAATAATAATAATAATGAAATGTAAATTATTTAGTCAATATAACGAACTTTTTTTTGATTTATGTAAATGAATCATGTCACAAACATGTGATAATGTAACATACTTTGAACCAAGCAACTAACAATGCAAACGCTTGTAGTCAGGATTTTAATTATTCAAAATTGATTTTGTGCTGTATTTTCCAACTTACACCATCTCTGGCGTACATGTGATATCCGGATATTAACCAGAGGACGCGTGCATTGAAAAACAGTTCGCCTTATCCTTAATTATGTCTGTGAGATATGACGATTGAGAGTGGAAGACATGAAAAGGTTAACTGCCTCTCATGTTAGGTGATAAAATACGCCGAGTAATACTTAGATTAGGTGTAGAGTGTTAGATAAGGAGGGTAAGTCATTCGATGAGGTTGTGAAGCTAAATCGACTGAGATGGCTAGAAGGACATGTGTGGCTCATGTCAAGCCATCACCTACCTAGACGATTAATGTTAGTCGACATTGGATTAGATTGGAGAAGGGTTAAGAGTGGTCAAACTAAAGCCTGGCATCAATCCATGAAGTCTTTGACAGTTGGTTTGACCAAGGTAGGCAGATGTAGGTTTCCTGGTTGGGGTCCCTAGGATGCTGAGAACCAAGGTCTAGAGACTACTGGTGATACTGTGGCGACAGCTGTCTGCAAGCTAAGTTTCCAAACAACAATTTACGTCAATGTTTACGTCCTGAATCGGGGTCATGGGAAAAAACAGTAATAAAGCTTAACCTTGAGGAACTCAACAACCAATCACGGCAGACTTAACGTGCGCAAATACGATCCGCAGATATATGGCCTGACTATCTAAGAAACAGTCACAAGCGGCACGAACAATCTGAAGACGTTGCTTTTTTGATAACAACTGCGAATAATAATGCATATAAAGATCTATAAATATCTGTTGACTTTCTCAATAAACGATCTGCTGCCTGCCTCTTGTCTTTTGTCGTTACAATATGACTTAAAATAATCCTGATTAGTGCAAATGCATTCACTCTCTTGGATAACCTATATTCACTAAACCGTCACATTTTTCCATATTCCTATTCTTCTCCCTCACATTTTGATTTATTGGTATTTTTTAATTTAGTCTTCTCTCTCTCTTTTGTCTACTTTTATGTACTACATGGAATGTGGTGACTTGGACTGATGCACTTCTGAGTAAAGCACTATGTTGAAATACAGTCAGTTAGTCAGTCAGCCAATCAATCAATAACTTCCTGACTTGTTTACAAACGTTTCTACACTAAACCTAAAATCAATAATAATATAACTCATCTAGGCCATTACTTTATTTCAAATTAACTTTTTTACAGGAACTACCATAACTTAAGTGCCCTTATGAATGGTAAATCCCAGTAAACTACCTGTGTACATTTTACTTGTGTTAAACACCTTAAAACAATAATAATATTGTCCCCAATGATTAAATATTTTTCTCAATTTCTAATCATATGATCACGATACTGAAAACAATTTCTGTTCCTGAAAATGTAACAAATTCAAATTATTAAGTTTTTAGTCATATTCACGATTGAATGTCTCTCCTAGAAGTGCTCACTGTCTGTTTTTCTGTCTGTTTTCGACATAGAACTTTGCCCCGATGTGCGACAGTTCAAGTCGCCACACTCCATGTATCACACAAAGCAAGAGAAGAAGAGTAGAAGAAATGCATAATAGAGACAGTAAACAGAGGTGTGAGACAAAGGAATAGTAATAACGAAGAACAAAACAGTTTCATTGGAAATCATAATTCACAAGGAGGGGATGCATCTACCCAGCCATTGAGAATGATTTTGAGCCATATCACCAATTTTTTCCAGTCATTGGTTTTTACCGTCCCAAGGACCCCAACCCGGAAGTCTACACCTTCCTACGTGGCTTGGACTAACTGTGCTCCCACCCATTCATAGCCTCTGTCAACTATGCCTTATTTAGTGCCTTCACGCAGCAGGGTGTGCTTAGAAAAATTAAAGGACAAATGAGAATGACCAGCAATCATCGGAAGACTGGTGGACGCAGGAAGAGTTGGAAGACCCTGATTCTAAACATATGGTGCACATGGATACAAAAGGAAAGAATAGTATATGGGTCTGACTTGGTTACTGCGGTCCAGATTAATAGTCGTAACATGTCAGGGGGTCTTCGATTTATCAGATAGGATTATCCATTGTTAGAGAGATGTGTTCCTTGGAAATCTACCAGCATCCTCAAATGCTTGTACGAAAACACCTTAACATTATTCCAAACAAGCAGTGATGATAGACGTGTCGTCTGATCTCACCATTCCTTTCTAACCGTGTCATTAAAAAGACATTCAAAGATAGCTTTCAAGAACGTGTCTGGTGGAGTAGAGAGGGACTTCTTGACCTTGTGTTTACAGACAATACTGTGTCACTGAGTAATAACATACAGGCTATTCATATCACCCTTAGTTGAGTTGACGATTAGTGTCTGCAAGCATGTTACTGTCCAAGTGCACGAACCTGCTTCCTCACTAACCTTCACAGATGAGCCGTTAGAAGTAGTAGAGAAAGCAATCCATCTAGGTGATTGTATGACAGCTAATTGTGCAAGGGATATAATTTCTGATGGCATATCGAAAGTCAGATCAGCCCTGGGAGTGAATGGAAAAGGCAAAGAGGCTGCGCCATCGGATGAAGGAGAGTTGTGTTGGATTGGCCATTTGTTACTATATCACAGCTCCCTATCTCTGAGGTCCAAGAGACTATTCAGTGACTCAAGACAACATATCATATATGGCTCAGAATCGAAATCAATGACGAACATGCTACAATTTCTCCTTTTTTTTCGATTCTTTTTGAAAGTAATAAGAAATAATAAAAGCTCCTTCGAAGGCGCCTGATACTGTAAGCACACCTGTTCTCATGATTTTCTTCCTCAATTATTTACTTTAATCTTCCTTCCGTTATATTGCTGTTTTATCATTTTTTGTAGCCATTTACTGCTTATATAACATGAAAAGTTAATTTCTGAAATCATTAAATAAGTAAACATACTATCCGGAGTTAAATTAAATTACGTCGTTTACATACATGATCAGCAACCTTAATATTTATCAAATCAATATCGTAACTATCATCATATCATATGAGTAATACACAGCATATAACATTGAATACTCAAATGAAAGTTGAATACAACTCACCAGATGGAATTACTACAAGATCTAAGCCAAATATAGTATGAGTGAGTGATGTATACAATCCGTAGAATACAGCCAATTTCAATGTTGCAACAAATACTCCACTAATAGCCATTTCAACAGTTGAAGAGAAACGTGTAATCAATGAATTCATTTTAGGCGTACTCGGTGCTAGTGAAGTGATAAAAGCAACAGGAAGGTAACACGATCCACTAGCAGCTAACACATAATAAAGAACTGTAAGAAAAATCAACTGAAACAAAAAGAAAAAAAAACAATGACAAGGAGATAATGATACAATATTAACAAATATAAATAAAACGCAAAACGATTGAACAAAGAATATCCTTTTCAACAGATCCCTCTTCTGGCTCTACAATTATATATAAGCTTATATACATAGAATATTCTAGACTGGTAGTTAATAACAATATTAGTGTTTTTTTAAATAATATCGATTTGTTAAGTAAGATCAATGGAATTACAGTTCATTAAACATGCCTAAATTATAATAATACTAAAGATTTAATAGCGAATAGAACATCAAATAAAATTAGGAAAATTTCACAAAAATTGACGATCATTCAAACCTAGATGGCCAAGCGGGTAAGGATAATATCTGAACTAACTTCTTTTGGGTGCACAAATTAGGCTTGTTAATATGGATTCCCACAGCCTCAGCAATATTCAGTAATCAAACTCTGAAGGCAAAATTGAGATACGTAGGTATGCGGTAAATGACCCTGAAAGCATGGTTAACGTCAATCTTGTGTTCTGTATCCACATGATGAGATAGAATAGCGCTGCAAATAGATTTTCTTGTCTTTTGCTTAACTACATACACTAATATTGTTATCGACCACTAATCTACAATATTCTATGTATATAAACATATACATATATAATTGTAGAACCAGAAGAGGAATTTATCGAAAAGGATATTCTTTGCTCAATCATTTTGTATTTTATAGATGTCTGAATGTATAAATATAAATAACAAATTTATAGTTCGATCCATACATACATTATTGCGGAACCAAAGGCAAACAGTAGTTGGATACCACTGCTCACATCAACCAGTAGTAATGGCTCGGCTGAAAAAGACAGAAATGGTCGTCCAGTGTTCGGATAACTTCAATCTGACTAGCAAGCACTACTATAGTTGGTATGAGTACTATCCAAACCCCTAGTGTCAGTCAATCAGTATTATACAGAGCGTTGTTATGCATGTGTGCTTGCTTTTTTGATTTTTATTTATGGGTATCAAAAAGGTCACACACATTAAAATCTGAATAATTTCTATTTTCAAAGGAAATTGTAGTGAAATTTCATCTTAAAGTGTGCAAATTGCAAATCGCAAATTTCATTTAAAATTTCAGAAAAAGTCTTCCTCACATATCTACACCCTTTGATCGGCTATGCGAGTATCTTTCCTTGTCTCTTTTATCCGCTTAAAAAGGCTACCTGGTTGGTGTTGCCAGTGCCTAACTGCTCGAAGTTATGTAACGCTAGAATTGTTTGAAAAATCCCTCCTAAACGATCTAATCACAATTTTTGGACTTATTTAAACATTCCAAATAACTTTGTTATGATTATCCTGTTTTTCTACTTGACTGCATATGACTGTTCTCACATTTGCATACCACATGTTGACTAGATCTTTATTATTAGTCTTTCTCCCTGTTTAATCTTTAATTGTAATGCTTCTGCTTGTGATTGTGTGATACACTGATTATGTGTTGTTATTACTATGTTATTTTGTTTGAGTGAATGAAGGAGGTGATTCTCATCTCGGACTGTCCAGGAGAGGCGTTGATGCATGACTCTTGTGCATGGAGTTTTTACTCCTATTGTTTTAGGAATATTCTACTTGATTCGAAAATACTTTGGACGGCAATACTGAGGTAATTTTGAGTTTTTCATGGCAATATTGTTGAATAGAACCATAAATTTATCGATTAATAATCATCTTATTTTCCTATCTTAGGAGTGAGCGCGTCTCAAGAACGTTCTGTCAGCTATGAAATACCACTAGACGCAACGGGTTGATCTCTGACGGAGTCTCAGTACGGATACATAGGGCTAGTTTCGCATATGCCAGTTTACGCCGTCTCTGGTGTAGAGGTGATATCCGGCTGGATGTCGACCAAAGGGCGTGTTTACTGCTCATCAGTCCACTCCGTCCTCCTTTATGGCTATGACTGACACATGGGCATTCAGAGTGGAAGACATGAAAAGATTAGCTGTCTTCGATCATAGGTGCCTGTGTTCTATTTCCCGTGTGAAGTGGTATAATAAGGCGAGCAATACTGAGGTTAGGCCTCGGTCGAGTGCTAGGTAAGGAGGGGAAATCAGTAGACGAGGCTGTGAAGTTACACCAACTGAGGTGGTTAGGACATGTGTTACGTATGCCTAGTCATCGTTTTCCTCGACTGACGGTCAATGTTAGCTGACATAGTGTGGATCGAGTTAGAAAAGAGTTAGTGGTGGTCTAACCAAAACATTCATCAGTCAATGAAATCCATAACAGTTAGTCTAAGCCACGTGGTTGGGGTCCTCGGTACGGTCAAAACCAATGGTTGAAACAACTGGTGACATGGCTCAAAATCGTTTCAACGGCTGGAGCAGATGCATCCACTCCCTGTGATTATGATTTCCAACGCAACTGTTTTGTTCTCGTTATTACTATTTCTTTGTCTCACACCTCTGTTTACTGTCTCTATTATGCATTTTTCCCCTTCTTCTCTTGCTTTGTGTGCTACGGAGTGTGGTGACTCGAACTGTCGCACATCGGGGCAAAGTTCTATGTCGAAAACAGACAGATGAAGTAGGAAGCAGAGATTGGTTTTCTGTGCACAGACCATAACAATTCGGTTATGCTCATAACAGTGTTATTCTGTCAATCATTATGGATAAATTCACTTAATATTTGATGAAGCCATATCATATTTTTTAAGGGTTGGTAATGCTGCTTGGACTAATCATACTTCGACAAATATAGCAGAGTTCAAATGCTTAACACACATTGTTTGGAACTTAAACATCTCAGTTATAATTTTCTATAATTGGTTTGTAAGGAATAGTTTTGTTTTAACGAGTTGATCACAGATTCATATCACCTAGAGAACCATTGAAAACCAGCACCGGAGTTCTAGACAGCTGTTTCATCCGAGTTTGAAAATCACCGTCAATACGCACGCACACTGTGGGGTTCGAACCCAGGATCTTCCGGTTACAAGGCAAGCCACTGGGACCCAGTTCAGTGGCCAGTGCATGAATTCTAACTTCTACCAATCCGCGATTTAGCGCGACCCTGACCAATATCGTCGGTAGGACATCCATCCTCACACTTGACGGAATGGACCTCACTAGTCACGACTTCTCACTAGAACTCCAGGAAACTCCATCTTGTAGCAAGTCACTAGCGAGCATCAGACTAATTTCCTATAATTGGTTTGTAAGGATTAGCAATAAATCAAAATGTATTAAGCATAAGGTGATAACAAGATCGGATGGAATTTCAACTTGTCAAACGAAACAATACAGTTAGTCAAACAATTACATGGTACTAAAGTCAATTCAATATTTAATAACTAAAATATCTGCCGTACAATAGGCTGTTTTCCATCATTATATAAACAAGAATTTGATAGGTTTCAAATTTAATCTCACATAGGGAACCAATGAGAACCTCGGATTACTGACCAGCTGTTTCGTCCTTGTTTAGGACTCTACAAAAGTACATATCCATAACCACTAATGATCAAACCTGACATTAAAAAAAAATTAAAGTATATATACCAAATATATCCTTCTACTATCATGCTGAAAAGAGTGTAAAGAAAAAACTCACGAAAGCAATGATAAAATTGACTGCCACATGTCCTCCACTCATGATTGACGAAAGTACCACAGTAATAAAATGTGCTATCAAATTTAAATTACTGCGTACAAAAATCCATAATGATTCTGTAACAGTTGCCAGTGTACCCAAATTCTGTTTTATAATTACAAACAGCTAAATATTAAGAGGAATAGGAAAACAGACATATTTGAGCATAACACAGAACTGGTAGGTAGTATAGCTCTAATAATAAAGATAAAAATCGTCAATAATAATAATAATAATAATCGCCATTATTATCAATGCAGTATAGATGTAAATGTCAGTCAAAGCATACAGCTTATCAATACACTCTTCACAATGATTATCACGCTTTTTTGTTTTTATAATTCTATTACAGTTTGATGGCTGTTGTGAAAGTCACTAATTAATCTGTCATAGAAGCTGGAAGAACACCCATAATGTTAAAACATAAAAATGAATAACGACACATTAACAGTGCCGTTTTTAAAATCCTCGGACGATGAAAACACAGAAGTCAGTACACGTTGATAGTAGATAGAAAATGTCAACAGCATTGATCCATTTATTTTACTTCACGTTCCCCAGTGGGACATAGAACTTCAAGCTAGTGGCTTGGAGTTTCTGTAGCAGTGTTTATTTTACAGGATGGGGTTGCTAGCCTCATGCCCAACCTTTTCTCTTTATCAGAATTATTTCTGGCTTACGAGGCAAAGGAGTTCGTCAGCCGGGGATCGAAACCCAGACCATGTGAATGGTTGGCGAGCGTCCTAACCACTATGCCACCGACGCACCCAGTATTGACCCAGACAGCTAAAAATTCGGTAGATGTTTAACCACAGACAGCACAGTGATTTTAACATAGCCTTCAGATAAAAGTGATTTAACATCTATCCGTGGGAAAATAGTTTAGAATATATGACTTCCGATATTTACATATGTATAAGTAATGATATTAAGATAAAAATCAGCAAGAGCGCCTTTTATACCACTGTTCGATGAGCACTGCACCTTTATACCTAGAAGGTTTTTAATCGATAGCGTAAATGGTTTACTAACGTGCTTGTGGAACTATGATCCTTTGGTGTAGACCCAATCGATAGCCACTACCTTGACTTGGTGGTTGAGTGTGCATATACAGCATTGATTCATTCAGCTATACTAACTGGAAAAAGTGTTCTTGCAGGTCCCTTCGTGCTAGACAGGGGAAGGTAACATTAAAGTGCCGTTATTAAGTAAACTGTCAGCTATGCTGTCGTCCCACCCGGGGAAAAAGGTATTGAAAAGGGCTGGTCACGAAATCTTTACATATCAGTTTACGTTACAACAGTCCCTAACCAGCGATAAGGTCTTCTATACCGACGAAGCTCCACCTCCAAAGAGGTCATGTGTGACTGGCCTCCAAAACTGGTTATCTAATCTACGCAGAGGAGCATCATTAATGCTTTTTCTCTTTTAATTACCTCAGGAAGAAATCCGCTTCCTATATGGAGGTAGTCAAGAAGTAGCAACTGTACATACACTCACCATAAAGCACACTATGTTCTACTCCCCACTACCCATCTTTATCTTTTTGGTAACATCTGGTTATTAATACTACTTTCCAGACAACTCCACTTCCTCTTAATTTTGTGACAATCCCCAGTGTTTTCAACAGGAGAAAAGTGGAATTTAATTAAATCAGTTGCCACCCGCATCCGACGTATCTGTAGTCCCAACGTTCTGGAAACAGAATTAGATATCCTGAGAGAAATCTTCATCCAAAATGGATACCCAATAAAATTTATCGACAAAAATATGAAACCAATAATTCGGAGAGACGAAACTTCAATTGAGCCGAAAAAGAAACTCTACATCAACTTGGATTTCAAGGGAGATTTAACAAGCGATATTCTCAAGAGAAGGATCACATTATCTCTGAGACGAACATACTTTGCCGCAACGCTAAGAATTGTGTTCTCCAGTCACCCACTGATCTGCACAAGCCTCAAGGACAAGATCCCGTATCTGACCACTTCCATGTGCATATATCAGTTCATCTGCTGCTGTGGAGCCAGGTACATCCATCAGTCGTTTGACGCGCACCCTGTCCAACAGGATTCACGAATACTCACCAGCATGGTTGCGAAAATGAAATAGTGTTGCAATAAGGAGTGCGATAATTGAACACCTGGTCAACACTGATCATCCCATCTCAACAAACGCCTCTTTCAAAGTAATCTACAGAGTCAGGAATAACCTACCAAAAGCAATACGGTTTCGTCTTCATTGTATTGCTGAGGCTGTGGTCATTCACATAGGAAACACGCAGCTATGTATACAAAAGAGAATTACTCAACCACTTCTACTGTTATGGTGACAACTTTTTTGATTTGATTTTCTTTTTATTTTGATGACTTAATTTTGCTTCTTTCCCTGTTCTTTAATTGCTTAGAATTCTTGTATTCATTTAGAACTCTTACGTAATTTCGTACCATCTAATTTGTTTCTGCGTATCCTGAGTAAAACTCAATCACCAAACTACTCATATTATTACATAACTTCTATTAACAACTGTTTGTGACAACTCATCACCTTTGTTACTACCCTTATTTCATTAACACCTAATTCTCTTGACTTGTATTACCAATCTTCACATGTTTAGTTAAAATAACCATAACCAATTGTAATTTTGTCTGACAAACTTAATGTACACATACATACAAAATAACATATATATATATATATATATATATATATATATATTTGCGATTGTACAGCTAAGAAAATGAATTCGCCGAAAAGAGTCTCTTCGCTGATCTACTTGTTTTGTTTTCATTAATGCCTGAATGGGGATTATCCATGAAAGGAGAAAATTCGTCCAAAATCTTTTAAAAACAAGCTACTAACTTTATTTCGAAGTTTTCAATTTCTGAACCTTATACCTGATCGGATAGCAGCTTCACTGATCAAAACTCTAGCATCCCAGGTTTCGGGAGTATGTTGCGTCTCTGAAATACATATACATCTTTTTCAATTCCAGATGACTGAGATGAGGAATATACAAAGTTCATCTTAAAACTATCAGGAGATTTTTCGCCTAGTTCTAATGCATTTGCAATTATAAAGATAGTGCATTAGGCTACATTTCTTGACCCAAAGACAATATTTCAATCCATAGCTGAAGAGGTGCTACGAAGATAATTTCACAAAAAAAAGTATATTGTACTGATCAAGGTAGTTCTATTTGAATTCATGCACTAATGTAAGCGTTTATGAAGGGTTGTCATCTAAAGTGAAGACAATAAGCGGTATCCGACAGGGATGTCCATAGTTCTTCTTAATCTCATTTCATTTCGAAAAGAATTAATAATTAAGCACATGATATGTATATACAAAATACAATATTACTTCCTATTAAAAGCTGAATACACTTCAAGCAAAGTAGAGAAAATCAAGATAACAAGACAACAATTTTGTCAACAACAAAAAAGACGAATACCGATAAAACTTACAGAACTCAAAGCATGACGATTAAATATCCACGTTGTGTTGATAGAAAATCTATTTGATGGTACAACTCCAAAAGTATTTGATACACGACGACTTGAATCAACATGATTATAAGTGTTATTAGGCATAAAAGGTAAACTTGGTTTATAACTTCTTGACTCATTGATGCCCACTGTATTGTTGATAGGCTATAAATTTGGTCAACAGAAAAAAAGCATCGATAATAGTAACTTAATATTTAGAAGTGATATGGTTGATAAAAACAAGTCAACACTGGGAATTACTACCCAGTTACCTGAATATCAACAAAAACACAGACGAGCTGTTTAGGCAGTAATTCACCAAAAACATTCTCTCATCAGGAAACAGACTTTTATCAATACCTGCATTCGCTTGCTGCTGAATATCAAATAGCCAGCCAGAAAGGATTAGGGACAAGGAATGCCGGCAGTGAACCAATCAAGAACCCCTACTTAGCCATAAATATACCAAAGAAAACAGAAATGGATTGGATACGCGCTGAGAAGACCGCTGAACGACACCACTCACCAGGCCTTCGAGAGGAATCCGAATGAGAAACGACGAGTTGGTCGTGGAGATCGCGTGTAAGGAAGAGATGGGAGCTTATGGGCAACCGTCAAGCCGGCTAAAGACAACTGAAGAGAGCAAGATGAAATGGGAATGTGCTATCGAAGCCTTAAGTTCCACATGGAACCCGAGAGAACAATAATGATAACAATAATAGCCATCATGTAGCACAAACCACTCTAAACAGAATCAATATCATTGATGAGTAACTTGCACCAGCTGCACCTGTAAATGTTTCAGTAATTCATGTATTACTCAGCTATCGAGATACAGAACAGTAAAAGTAACAACAGCATGTGTAAACGTCCTACATAGGATAAATGTAAACCAATTAGACTCTTCATACAAAAGCTATGAAGTATTCAAAATCAACTTATTAGATATTTCCTGATATGAATTTTTTGGATCAGATAGTGTTTTCAAAACAGAAATATCTGTTTATTAGATAAAAACGGTGATAATTGGTTTATTCTGCACCGAAAAATCATGAAATTAACAAGGTCGACTACAGTTGGATGTCTGTATGGATGTACCAATACTCTGAAACAAATATTATTAATGTAGTTCACAACTTCCGGTTATTTCACTGGGCTTGACAGAAATGATCGGCCCCCATTGAAATTGAATGTAAATATACACCACATAACTGTAACAAGCATCAGTCCTATGAATTTTCATCAAAACAATTAACTCATAGACGTTAGTAACAAGATATCCGAGTTTTAAAGGAAGGGTGAAATTTATTTACGCAGAATTCAAGATAAATTGATTCGTAGGCGTTAGCAACAAGTTATTACATAAATCATCTGTCTCATGTCTCAGTCACAGCCGCGAAGGAAGACGGAACGAACTGATGAGGCGCAATACACACGTCCTTCGGTCGACAGTCTGAGATGGAGTAAGTTCGCATATGCCAAACGAACTTTCTGTATCCCATCTGAAAATTCGTCAGCGATCAACTCGCTGGTACTGACTGATGGAACTTCTCAAATAAGTGAAGTTGTCAACATGCTCCGCCAACCACTTCACTCTCTATCTTTAGGCTAGGAATGAGTTGATGTAGTCCAGCCAGTCCTGTACCATCGTCTTGCATTTGACGGGAGCGAGTCGCATACCAAACATTCGAAGATCGCTGTTCAAGGTATTTCAGAAGACTCCATTATGTTGGCGTCTTCACCAAGGAGGACTATACCATCTACATATTCTACGTCAACGAGATTTTTCCCTGATGGCAACAAGTCGATTCCTTTGTCTCTGAAGATTACAGTAAGAAGTTACTGATGAATGTTTACATGATTACATATAAAAAAATAATTTAATAGTTAGGTCTCCACTATTCATCAAAAAGATTACGTTTTTTTATGAAGATAATGTGAAAAAGTAAAATAAATTCATGGGAATATAGGTGTGAACAAGTATAACCTTATACAGATTCTCAATCAGGTCTACAATACTGATAACGTCTGTGCCTCATACAACGCTACGTTGCAGAACACCACAGCCTTTTCATAAATCTTAAGCTACTGAATTCCTATTTGTCCTTTTTTGTCACTATCATTACTAAGCATTAAAAACTAACACCTGAAAACTAATCTGATGCTCACTATTGACTGACTGACTGCAGGATGAGATGGCTGCTAATACAGTTGGTAGTTGCGCTAACAAATTTCCTACCTAGTCGACTGATTCGCGAGTCTACTCTTCTAACCACTATTAGCTACAACAGCGGCAATAACAACACGACACGATGCCACCGAAAACGCAGCATGAAAAAACAAAAAGAGAAAACGGACCGTTGACCTGGAGAGTATTTATTTTCTCATATCAGTAGTGAAAATGATTGACAGAGCATGTATATTATATATATATATATATATATATATATATATATATATATATATATATATATAATTTGAATGACCTTGAGAGGCACTAATTACATTGATGAATTGAAATAGTCAACAACTAATAGGAGTTCGAGGTCATAGGTAATGTAAAAAGTATATGTAGCAAATTAAATCCACATAGCACGAAGTGAAGATGCTTGAAGTTCTGGTCAGAAGTCGTAACCAATGGAATTAACCAAATTGGGTATGAGGACAAATACTGGCTGACAACATTGGCTGGCGGAGGCGATGAAAATAGCGAATTGACAGAATTTAGAACTGATGAGGAATGGGCTTAAATCCCAGTGGTCGAATGGTCTACAACCAGACCACAAAACTTAGGGGTTCTAGGTTTGATCCCCAATGGGGTCATGGGTCCATGCTGTTGAAGAGTCCTGAACTAGGACGAAACAGTTGTTCAGCACTCACCTCAGTTTTCAATGGTTATCTCTATATGATAACAATTCATGACCAAACTTGAAACCAACCATCAAATCCCTACGAACTAACACTTGATGAATGATATACAAAAATAACTGTTGAAATATGGTATAAAAACGTAATTGCTTACCTGATTTATAAAAGAATTATAAACATTCTCCCATAGATCTAAAAGTTGCTCTTTCAATATAGCTTTTGAATTCGGATCACCTTCAAAAAGTTCATTTGTCTAACAGAAATATGGATGAAGAGAATCGAAACATGCATACATCAGTTAAACACTAAACTACCTAATATAAACAAACGACTGACTACTATATTTAGACAATATGAAAATTATTTTTTCTTAAACTGCGATAATGATTTTCACATTATTAGTCTGATTATTTTATTTAGGAATTTAAAACTGACAGGTAAGATAAAACACTGTCGTATCAGTCCCCACCAGTTACACAACCCACCTATTGAAGTCGACATTTCGTTTACATGACTAGAAAAGAACAGTACTTTAGTCCTTATATTACCACGTGACTTATGATACATTCAGTGTATGCGATGACATCTGTTTAAATGGTATTCTTAACACCAATGGGATATTCAAATGTTAGTCTGTCTGTCTGGATTCAACTTAGAACTTGGCACCCAAGTGCACCAGTTCCAGTTGCCACGTTCCAAATAGCACACAAAGGTAGACAAGAAGATGAGTGAAGAGAATCAATAGAGTTTGACAAGTATAAGAGTGAAACAGAATGGGTAATGGTAGAAAGGAATATGAAAGATTACAGAGACTGAATACATCTGCGCCATTGACAACGATTTTGAGCCATGTCACCTATTGTCTCCAGCCATTGATTCCTAGAGTCCCGAGGCCCCAACCCGGGAGTCTGCATCTCCCTACCTGACTCAGTTTAACTGTCAAGGATTTCATGGATTGATGCCATGTTTTTGTTTGGCCACCACTGGCTCTTTTCCAACCTTGACCTATATCAGCTAGCAATGCCCGTCGGGGGAGGCGGTGGTTAGGCATGCGCACCACGTGACCTAGCCATCTTAGTCTATGTAACTTTATAGCCTCGTCGATTGATTTTCCCTCTTTGCCCAACACTCTACGCCTAACGTCAACATTACTTATCTTGTGAAACCACCTAACGTGAGACAGAGATCGCAGACATCTATGATCGAAAGCAGTCAACCTTTTCATGTCTTCAACGCGTATTGGCCATGTTTCAGAGCCATAGAGAAGGACGGAGCGAACTGATGAGCAGTACACACGTCCCTTGGTTGATAACCGGATGTCACGCCTACGCCAGAGATGGTGTAAGTCAGCGAAAGCAGCTCGAGCTTTTCGGATCCGTGCTGAGATTTCATCGCCAATCAGTCCGTTGGTGCTAATACAACTTCCCAAGTAGGTGAAGTGGTCAACATGTTCTATCACTTCACTCCCTATCACTAAGTTAGGGGTTGACGTGGTCCAGTCCTGTAGCAGCATCTTACATTTTTTTGGGGCGAATCGCATGCCAAACATACGAAGATTGCTGCTCAAGGTGTTCAGAAGACTCTGCATTTTGTCAGCATCCTCCCCTAACAGGACTATGTCATCTGCATATTCTAAGTCCATAAGATTATTCCCTGGTAACAAGTCGATTCCTAAGTCACTACGTTCAGTTAAGGATACTTCCATTAGCATATCTATGATGAAGTTAAACAGAAATGGGGAAAGTGGACATCCCTGTCGGACACCACTGGTTGTTACCAATTCAGATGACAATTCCCCATAAGCCCTTACACGACTACGTGAGTTTGAATAGAGTGCCTTGATTAGTGCAATGTACTTTCTTGGCACTCCCTTCACAGTCAGACATTGCCATAGTACCTTTCGATCCACGGAGTCGAAGGCCGCCTTCAAGTCAAGAAATATGACAATTGTTGGACGCCGAAAAGTGTGTCTATGTTCTAGAATCTGTCGAAGAGTGAAGATATGATCTATGCACCCTCTACCTGGTCTAAAGCCTGCTTGATTTTCCCTTGTCTGTTCCTCCCGAGTTCTGCTTAGTCTATGCATGATTACTGAGCCTAGGATTTTAGAGACTATGTTCGTTAGGCTGATCCCCCTATGATTATCACACGAGGACTTGTTTCCCTTCTTGAATATCGGTATAATAAGTGACTTACCCCAGTCTGATGGACTGTCTCTGATTCCCAGACTTTGCCTAGTACCTCAGTTAATCTACAAACTAGTATGTCACCCCCATATTTAAACACCTCCGGAATAATTCCGTCGGGTCCTGCCGCTTTGCCTCGTTTCAAATTACTGATAGCTTTTGTAACCTCACCTACAGACGGCGGACCAGTGTCTATATCCCATTCGGGTACGTGGTGGATGGCGGGGAGGTTCAGTGTGGCTGTAGGCAAGTTAAATTGTTCCTCAAAGTGTTCTTTCCAGCGTTCAAGGCGTCTATCCTGAGAGCTAATTAAGGAGCCATTTTTCTCAGAAATAGTCTCACTTATGAATTGCCTTCTCCCCCCGATTCTGATGAGTCTAAAGAGTTGCCTAGTGTTGCCTATCGCCAATGCTTTTTCCATCTCTTTCGCCTTTGTCACCCACCACTGTTCACGGTCCTTGCGGAGACTTTTAGTAAGTTTCCTTTTGTGCAGCTTTCGCTCCTCATTGAATTCGGAGCTCGCCGGAATAAGTCTTCTAGCATCTATCAGTTCGGATGAGGCAGTCGAAATCCAGTGGTTTTTACTCACCTTTGGATTTCTTATTCACAGCTTTTACAGCTGTATCTATAGCTGACTGAATATTCTTCCAGGCTTCTCCAGGGTGAGCACAGCTGTCGATTCAGATATGCGTTTAGCTAGTTCTTCCTCAAATAGGGATTTAGTTTCCTGATCGAGCTGGGGACGTGATGGTTTTACCGCCAGCTGTTTCCTACGTCCGTTCAGTCGTAAGCACACACGAGCCCGGACCAGTGCTGATCGGTATCTACACACGTGTTCCAGAAGGAGCGACAATCTCCTACCGACCCACGCCAACGATAGCTTATTGCTATGTGGTCTATTTGTGTCCAGCGTTGGTTTGATGATGGGGGTCGCCAGGTTAAACAGTGTCTCTCCTTGTGTTTAAAGTTAGTGCTTACAAGAAACAAATGATTATCTGACAGAACTGTAGGAGACGGTCACCGTTGTCGGTTCGCTGGCACGGAACTCCATAGGTGCCACCGACATCCTTCTCAGATTGACACAATTTCCCTACTTGAGCGTTAAAGTCACCAGCTAGAACGACTATATCTGAGCGTTTAGCCTTTCTCACCAAACTAGACAGCTTTTGGTAGAACTCATCCTTCGTTTCATCCGAACTGCAGTCAGTGGGGGCGTAGGCGGAGATTACGAAAAGGCATCGGCGAGTAGTGCAGTCCTTCTCCTTCTTACTGATCCGTTCAGACGGACAGCACACATTCGGCTATCTACGGGATCCAGTCAAAATGTCTTTTCTGCCCTAGTACTCAGCTATCCCTACGCCAGCTAATCCCGTGAACTAGCTGTGGCATCTCCTGACACCCTCAAGGTGAATTTTGAGATTCACCTGTTGGCCAGGTGGGGTTAGGTGAATAACCACACTTGGGTCTTGTATGCGTGTTTCTGAAACACACAACATCAATGGCTCGGATGCCAGGGTCTTGCTAGTGATGCTTGTTGTCCTATTTGGCAAAGTGTCCTAACATTAAGCTCCTATATGAAATTGGTGGCGGGCTTTAGAGCTTCGGTGGTTTTTTGGCTTCTCGTTTTTAGTGGACCAGAGTAGAGGAGTGAGCATCAAGTAGGAGTTGCATCAGTGGGGAAGGCAAGTATAGAGATGAAGATGAAGAAAGAAGTGAGTAGAGAGGTTTTGTGTGCATTTTGGATTGTGAGGGTGATTGTTACTTCCCGGCTGCCCACACCGTGAAGTTGGTTGCGTGACCGCAGAGCCCAGGGACAACTGCTTGAGGCCGGTCACACGCGGCCTGTTTTTTTTCTTTTTGTTTGGTGCTCAGTAGCATATTATCACGGCAGCAGAAGCGCGGTCGTTGTTAATCCGGGCCACGGCCGATCGCATGAAATAATGAATAATATACGATCTTGCCTAGTAACCGGAAGGTTCGAATTCCAGTGGGACAGTACTGGCGATGATTCCAACACTAGGAGGAAACATCTGTCCAGTACTCCCATATTTTCAATGGTATAGTGCGGCGGTGGCACAGAGGTAAGGACGCTCGCCGACCATGCACATGGTCCTGAGTTCAATCCCCGGCCACTGGACGCACTCCTTTACCTCGCTAAGCCAGAAATAATCCTGGTAAAGAAGAAAGGTTGGGCATGGGGCTAGCAAACTCATCCGGTTAAAATAAACACTGCTACAGAAACTTCAAGTCTGTAGCTTGAAGCCCTATGTTCCATTGGGAACGTGAAGGAGGAAAAAAGGTTAATAAGATACACTGATGACTATCTAACGATGACTTCATGTAGAAACGTAGTGTGGCGAGTGGTACTGATAAGATTTATCAGTAGTATGTAGAAGAGACGTTCATCAGCATAAAATCATCAAATATAAAGGAGATGCAGAGAATGAAAATGAAATACAGCGTTGTAGAGATACATAGGAGACACGAAACGAACACAAAAAACAATATGAAGGCCACAAGTAGCCCAACACGGAAGATCTGTGCAAATGGTGCGTTGAAGATAAGGTGTACATACTTTAGCTATATAGAGATACCAAATTCCAAATAAACATTCCTTTACCAAGTCTTCGTCTTCTACTGTTACAGTAGCACATCAACGTTAAGAGCAAATACGAAAATTACGAAATTAACCAAAGCAACTTAATAGTGATCTAATCAGACAACCAACAACAGCAGAAACATCCAACGCTAATCACAAGCAACGGGAGGGATTTGAAAGAGAGTTACTTCATTCACTTATCTAGGGAGCATTGTCTCAACTACAGGAAGTCGGAACGGACGAGGATGTCAACTCGAGCGAGAATCGGGAAGGCGAGAAACATATTCATCAACCTGAAACAACCAATCTGGAAATCTTCGTCACTCAGCCAGCATCAACAACAAAATTCGCTCGGATTTTCAATACAAACAACGTCAAGTCAGTCAGTTCTTCTATACGGATCAGAAACTTGGCGGGTGGGCAGGTCACAAAGAATATTTCCACTAACAGCCTGTTGCAGACCTTTATCAACCAACAACTGTCTTCGTTCTATACTGCGTCGGTGGCACAGTGGTTAGGACTCTCGCCGACCATGCACATGGTCCGGGATTCGAGTCCACCCCGACGCACACCTGATATCTATGGTTGGCCTGCGAATTTTGGGCTACCGATATCCACGCTGAAAATTCCATACTTGTACCAAAAATGCGGTGTGGAATCAAGCTGTAATCAAAAATCAATCAAATCAAATCAGATGGCCGGGTCAGAAAGAATTACCAACAAGAAACCAAACTATGGGAGCAAACAAAACAAGAACCAATCAATCGCCAACCAACAAATATGCATGAGAAAGTGGAGATGAATGGATTGGACACCCGCTGAGGAGGCCTCTGGGTGACATCGCGCGCGCGTCAGGCCATCGCTCGAGTGGAACCAGGCCAAAAGGGAAGCGGCGAGTGGGACGTGTCCAATGGTGGCTGACATTTAGGAGATCGTGTGAAGAGGAGTTGAAACAGTATGGACTAACATGGATGCAGGTGAAAAGCACAGCAGAAGACAGAGGGAAGTGGAGACGTGCAGTTGAAGCCCTATGTTCCACTAGGAACCCAAGGGAACAATAATAATAAATGAAAAAGTTCACAGATTATATCGAATAGTTATGAATTGGATTTCATAGGAACATTCATATCATAGTGTACTTAGTTTAAACAGACTAGGAGCTCAAATTGTAGTAGGACATCCGTAACATCTACCTATTATCATTATTATTATTACTTTTATATTCCTTTGTGTTCTAAGTGGAACATAGGGATTCAAGCTTGAGCTATGAAGTTACGGTGGCAGTGGTGCCGATTTTTTTACAGGATGGGATTGCTAACCTCACGACCAACCTTCCGTCTTTACCGAGCCTACTACCAGCTAAGCGACGTTTAGACTGAGTCAGCTGAGGATCGAATCCCTGACCACGTGAGTAATTGACGAGCAGTCTACCGCTGAATCACCGACGCAAAACATCTATCTCTAACCTGTATATTTACAAACATCGACATTGATTTCACGATTTTAACAAATGGTAAAATGAAGTAGCTTTAGGTGTTGATTAGTTCATTATAGATCACCTTAGCAACTGATCAGAGGGATTTTTGAGTAAAAGGAAGAATGTGTAATGCAACTTAGAATACAATACAATTTTTAATAAATGATATAGAGTCCAAGCATTTTTAGTCTCCATGCATTAATTTGAGGAAATATTCGACTCCAATCATTCATTCATTAGTGAAACCTAAATAAAAATGCCTTTAACCAGAATAATTTGACTAGGGAATAAACAAGAATATGGCTGACTTATACGTTGTCAATGATCATGAACACTGGCTTTGTTCGCCATTGGCGGGCAACTTGAAGGCACGAGTGATCCGATCGTGTACAAGTTAGAAGACGAAAGAATTATTATTATTATATCCTTTAATTCCTAGAGGAACATAGGGCTGCAGCCGCGCGTCTCCATTGCCTTCGGTTTTCTGCCGACTTTTTCACCCCACTCCAAGTCTGCCCACATGCTCTCATCTCCTCTTCACATGGCCTCCTCCAAGTCACCCTTGCACTGACGACCAACTCGCCGCTTCCCTTTCGGGTCCACTCGAGCAATGGCCTGTCTAGTGATGTCACTTGATGGTTTCCTCAGCGTATGGCCAATCCATCTCCATAACTTCCTCCCTATTTGTTTCACAATCGGTTCCTGGTTGCTTCGATCATTGCCAGAGATCCCTGTTGCTGATCTTTTCTGGCCATCTGATCCTTGTAAAAATTTATTTATACATATAGTACAGAATATTGATTTGAACAATCGAAGAATACAATTTTTTGTCATCCATTGTGTTTTGGAATTAAAGTCGATATCTGTGCTTGGTGGTTATCGATTTGGAGCGTCTTCGGACATAATAAGATCTTAGGGTTATGTTCCTTGACATACGTCAGAAACTAATAAGGCAAAATTTGCAACATCAGTAGAATAAAAACACAAAGCCAGTGATATGGAGACAAATTACCAATAAGCCATTTTGGGTGGTTTCACATAAGACTGGATCAAACATCCCCCGTAGGTGTCAAAATTATATTGTGTACTTCTGAATATCTGATAATTTTTATCAATCAAGTATTATATAAAGCACAGTCAGAACGAATATACTGTGTAGTGCATAACGTGATATGATAAGCAACATGGAAGCGCATGTGCATCGGTGGTATAGCGATTAAGACGCTCGCCGACCATGCACATGGTCCGGGGTTCGATCTCCGGCCACTGGATGCACTCCTTTACCTCGCTAAGCCAGAAATAATCCTGGTAAACAGGAAAGGTTTGGCATGAGGCTAGCAACCCCATCCTGTAAAACAAACACTGCTACAGAAACTTCAAGCCTGTAGCTTGAAGCCTTATGTTCCATTGGGAAACGTGAAGGAAACAAAAAAATGGAAGCGCATAGTAAATTCGTCAACAAATCAAAAGTGATAACACCTTACACCCTACTGAAAAAAAAAATAAAAGGAACTTTTGTGTACTCTTCGATAAAGCGAACAGACTTAGGAGGATATACAGCGGGGTGGAAAACATAGGTTAGACAGACTGAACTTACTCTATCAGATATCCAACTACGTCCTGCCTGATAAGCATTTGCAGCCAAGACGCCAAACATACCATCAACTTGTTCTTTTTTAGGAAGCCAGCTATAAAAACGAAGTGAACAGAAATGTTATTTTGTATAATTCATACATTGCATTTATCAGAAAGTGATAGAACAAGGCAGGAATTCATTTATTAAGTAACCTGGAACACTTGGTTTGCCTAAAAGTGGTCTGCACAAATGGCAAAATAAAGAGCTTACCGAAAACACAAATGGAATCAGTGAAAGCAGAAAATTGAAAATAAAAATGTGACAAAGAACTAACACTTGAACGCATAATATTAAGTTTTGTTCTCACAGACAATCTGAATTGTAAAAACTGTAATCCATATATAATTATTAAAATGGATAAGTAAAACACCGGAAACTGTTTGAAGTGAAGACGGTGAAGTTAAACTTTAAGCACCAGTAACTACTAATGGAGTGCGACCGCACCAATCACCTTGAAACGTTCACTGAGCAAGTTAGTGAAACCTGGTAAATAATGTTGTCGATGATTAATAAAATATGCTCATCGAAGTGCTATGTTATTAAATGCGACAACTGGCAAGTTTCAGCCTAGGTTTGGGAAATATTAACTTACGCTTTAAGCCAAGGACAAGTTAGGGTTAGGTTAACCTAATAAAAGGCGATATTAGAGTTGGTTTGAGTTAGATTACAGTTATTTTAGGGATAGTTTCACGTTACGGTTAGGTTTGGGAAAGGTAAGGGTTATTGTTAGGTTTGGAAGACCTAAATAATTACATGCATAGAACGTGGTTAAGTTACTCTGTTGATATCTGTCTGTCTGTCTGTTTTCGACATAGAACTTTGCACAAATGTGCGGCAGTTCAAGTCGCCACACTCCACAAAGTAAGAGAAGAAAGTACAAGAAAAGCATAATAGAGACAGTAAGCAGACGTGTGAGACAAAGAAATAGTAATAACGAAGAACAAAACAGTTTCATTGGAAATCATAAGTCACAAGGAGTGGATGCATCTGCGTTAGCCATTGAGAACGATTTTGAGCCATGTCACCAGTTGTTTCCAACCATTGGTTTTTACCGTCCCGAGGACCCCAGTCAGGAAGTCTACACCTTCCTACGTGGCTTAGACCAACTGTTGTGGATTTCATTGTCTGGTGCCAAGTTTTTGTTTGACCTCCGCTAGCTTTTTTCCAGCCTGACCCTATATCCGCTAACATTGCTCGTCGAGGAAGGTGATGACTAGGCATACGTAACACATGTCCTAACCATCTCAGTCAATGTAACTTTACAACCTCGTCTACTGATTTCCCCTCCTTACCTAGAACTCGACGGCTAACCGCAATATCGCTCACCTTATTCAACCACTTCATGCGGGAGATAGAGCACAGGCACCTATGATCAAAGACAGCTAATCTTCTCATGTCTTTCACTCTCAGTGGCCAGGTCTCACAACCATAAAGGAGGACTGAGCGGACTGATGAGCAGTACACTCGCCCTTTGGTCGATAGTCGAACATCTCGTCTACGCCAGAGTCGGCGTAAACTGGCAAATGCGAAACGTGCCCCCTGTATTCGTGCTGAGATTTCGTCAGAGATCAACCCGTTCTGGCTGATGGTACTTCCCAAATAAGTGAAGCTGTCAACGTGCTCTACCAATTCACTTCCTATTTTTAAACTAGACGTCGATGTAGTCCAGTCCTGTAACATCATCTTGCATTTGGCGGGAGCGAATCGCATGCCAAACATTCGTAGATTACGGCTCAAGGTGTTTAGAAGACTCTGCATTTTGTCAGTGTCTTCGCCTAGAAGGACTATATCATCTGCATATTTCAAGTCAACGAGATTAGTCCCTGGTAGGAAGTCAATCCTTGAGTCGCTGAAGTCACTTAGGGTTAAGTCCATTAACACATCTATAATGAAGACTCTGTTGATATAAGGAATAGAACTTCTGCACTGTGGTATAATTCCATTGCAGATAAAATTTATTTTGATAACGTCTCACAGTGTTTTACAGTAATATTTGCTGATGATCACGTTTTGAGAACAATTTAATGCTCAGTAAGTATTACTGTATAACACTGTGAGACTTTATCAAAATAAATTTTACCCACAATGGTATTACACTCTGTTGATACTCCAACCAAAAACTGAGAGCTATTTTTATCAGATGAGAGGAAGGTATCCTCTGTAACACTTTGATACAGTGTTTATGAATTTTTTTTCAAACAAAAACTTGGCACAAAAACCAAATGTACCGAGGTATCGTGGGGCCGGGAAAACAGTGAAAAGGAGCAAATTCAGACACCCCTTGTTTTCAAATTTTTTTTTTTTTTTTTTTTTTTGGTACTTAATAAAAGACAAATAGATGTGGAATCCGTACACAATAATGCCTCCTTTTTACGTGATTGGTGAGTTCGAGGTCATAATAATAATAATAATAATAATAATCACTTTATTCCACAACAATAACAATTTACAGCATGGAATTTTCAGCGTTTCTTTTACATATTGCAATGGTTTAGCTCTGTTTATAATTATATAAATGTATAAAATGTTAAAATATTGATAGTTAATAGGAAAAAATAAAAAAAAAAAACCCAACAAAATCACACCATTTCTAGGTCATAGTGAATAATAAATAAATAATATAACAAATAACACATGCATTAATATGCATCATTTCATTTTATAGTTTAGTTATTGATTCAAAAGTTGTAAAAGTTCTTTTCTGATATTTGTCTCTTCACACAATACTCGTGCCAAATATGGAACGGTCGAATTTTTATATTTTGTAGTACGAGCATAAATGTTTATAAAATTTCTTCTGGTCTTACCCGAAGAGATACAAGGAAACAATTGTGAATAAAGAGGATGTTCACTATCAGATAAGATAACTTTAGCTAAGTGTTTACAAGAATTCATATGCCTATTGACAACAGTGTCATTTAGTTCAGTCAAAGGGATAGCACTGACCCTACTTACAGCCCTCAATGTTCTTCGTAGTATTATATGGTCTTTCTTGAGTAGCCCAGGGAAGAATAATGGAGAACAATAAAGAATGATGGGCAAAACACATGAATTAATAAATTGTATGATAAGAGATTGGGTTATACCTGAGTGTCTCAACTTCTTTATGTAATAAGTCAGACGGAAAACTTTCTTAGAAACTATAAGAATATGAGACGACCAGCAAAGGTTTGAAGAGAAACTAATGCCAAGATAAGAAACACTTGACTTACTCTCTATCATGGTACCATCAATATTACAACAATCATGAGATTGAATCAATCCATGCATGTCTTTTTCACTTCTCAAGCTGAAATCAACAGTGTTACATTTAGTTGGATTTAGTTTAAGACCATTTGAGCCAGACCAATCCTTAACTTCAGCTAAGAAGCCATTCATATGGGAACAATCCGATGTGGAAACTACAGGGACAGAAACGGTCAGATCATCAGCATACTTAATGAAGTTAACTTTGGGTGAGTTCGGAAGGTCATGCAAAAAGAAAGAGAAAAGAAATGGAGAAAGTACTGCACCTTGAGGCACACCACTTTCAGTTAGCTGAGAAGTGGAGCGCTTTCCAGCCAAAACAGTATGCTGTTTCCTATCCTTAAAATAAGAAGACAGCCATCTAGTTGCCCAGGACTCTGTTTGTGCTGAAATCATCTTTCCTAATAAAAGTGTCCTAGGAACAGAGTCGAAAGCTGCAGTATAGTCTAAAAAAGCTGTTCGAACGAACTTAGCGCCCTTATCAAGGCAGGAAACAATATTGTGGTGTAGTACAATGGCTGCATCTAATGTACTTCTTCCACACTTATAAGCAAACTGCTTAGGGTCACTAAAAGCTTTTAAAGAAGGTTTAAGAATATTCAAAAGAAGTTTCTCCATAGTTTTCAAAAAAGGAGATGTTATAGCGACCGGTCTAAACTTTATACCTGCTCCAGAAGATGATTTCTGTACAGGTACAACCTTGATTTCTTTCCAGTCAGCAGGTACCGTTTCCCTGTTAAATGATGCGTTAAAGATTTGAGTAAGAGGATGACACAAGATGTCTGCACACTTTTGAAGAAGAATGCTTGGTACACCATCTGGACCAAGGCTGTGTGTTGGATTTAATGACTTCAAACATAATAGTACATCCTTTTCTTTAAAACCCTGAAAATGACCATTTTCTTGACTAGGTACATCAGGTACAACCATATTAATTTGTTTCTTGATAAATGATTTGTTTAAAGCATTAACATCAGAATAAGCATCAACGGACATTTGTTTTTTACTTGTAAGTTTATTGAAAAGTTTCCAAATGTTTGAAGGATTTTTACATGATAAAAATTTTTCATTATATAGTCTGTTCAACCTTTCTATTTCAATTTTTATAAGGGTGTTTATTTTACGGACACCAGTATTATCACAATTCTTATACAACTTCTCTTTTTGTCTTCTAAGTTTTTTCAGTTGCAAAGAAGAGATTCTGTCAAATCTCGAAAACAGTGTTTCATATGGACAGCAAATTTCCAAACAAAACTTCAGATAATCGGTTATATTAGAGACAGTAGCATCCAACTTATCGTCAGTAAATAGTTCCCAGTTGGTATCATGCAACATGCTTCTTAATGCTAGAATGTTGTCATGGGAATATGAACGTTCATGTATCTTCTTTGTTAAATGACTAAACAATTTTCGTTGTAACTTGCCGTACACTTTCGGTAAAATACGAATAATGCAGTGGTCAGAATTTAGCAAAGGAGCTCTCCTTCGGGTTTCATATACATCACGGTCATTTATGAAAACCAGGTCTAGTGATTTGTCCAGACGTGTATTAAACTTGACTAGATTCTCATGACCAAGTGAAGTAAGAAAGCTGTGATCACATGAATTAAAATCACCACAGACTATAGACAACGAGTTTCCGAATGCAGGAGCAGCGAATTCAGTAAACTCATCTGCAAACATAACTATATTAGAAAGGCTACAATTGGGTGTTATGTAAATATTTGTTATGTATATATAAGAATATTTACTTAAGTGTTTTGGGCGACACCTGACGGTTATGCAATCTATATTGTCATTAGAATA